TAGAACTAATGAATTGTTGTTTCGGTAGTGGTTATGAATGTGTACAAGTCTCATCCGTCGTGTCAGTATTGTAAGAATTTGAACAAGACCTGTGTATGTCATGCAGAGCATGGGATGTGTAGTGATTCCTCTTAAGTGATTAGATAAATGCTCTTTGGATCATTGGGGGAAAATGATATTGCTAAGTGGAAGTGATTTGATGAGAGTATATGTCTCAGAAAAAGGTAATGTGATTAAACTGATTATATTTCGGCAGTAGTGCGGCATGTTCTTGTTGGGTCCACTGGTGGTATTTGAGTTTGCTCGGTAGCACAGGTAAATATCGAGTATCTGTCGTGGAATGAAGGAGTATCAAATGTGTGCATGTATTCGCACAGTGGAAACTGGGATCAGGTATGTTGAATTGTGTGTTATATGGAGTTCTGATGTACAGGCTATGTTGTGATGTTGGAATTCAGACTGGTTCTCTTAGTGTTGGAAGATTTTGAACTATTGCCTTATGGGCTATGTCGGAAAATGCCACAGGCTGCGTGGCAAGGTGCATTAGACTATGTTCTAGTAGAATGGTTTATATTTCAAGGACCAGCGGATGGCTGGAAAGGATTGATGTTCTTGATTGGGCCTTCGTGGCGGATGCCAGTGTCTTGAGGCGCTTCACGTGTAATAGTGTTGGGATAGGATCGCGTATTGTAGCGAGACTTCGTGGAGTTATGACCTTTCGAGGTAGATTCAGCTGTTATATTTCTACGATGCGAGACGGAGTCTCAGCCTTGTGTTGTAACGGTATTGACGAGCTTGAGGTACAGCTCTTTCGTTGGAGCCGTTTGTCCCGATTTGAGCATGTTCAGATCGTTTCTTACGGGTGCGTGTATTACGCAGGTTGTGGTTTAGGCTTGTATGGAGATATCATATCACCAGAGTGGTGTTGGATTCGAGGTGATCGTTGGGTTCATTAATGCATACGGACAGATTTGATCTCAGCTTGTTAGGAAGATAATATCGAGGTTTGACCCGGAAATCTGTTGTGATATCAGTCAAGGGAAGAGGTTTCATGAATGGTTGATCTGAGAGATGATTACGATTTATAGCGCGTTTCATTCATCGTTGGCAGTATATGAGAGTGTTGGAATAAGGCTTTAGCTAGTGAGAGGTTCTCTGCCGGTAATTGGTTGCTGGGGACAACTGCTGTGAATAGAAGTTATAGTTCCGAGTGTTTGGTTTAGGCGGTATATCATACGTTTTCACCTGAGGGTGCAAGTATGGGTTATTACAGCTGGTTCGGGCTTACTCTGAGTATAGATGTGAATTTCTGATCTTGGGTATGATTTTTTTTTCGGAAAGTGCAACGTGGTTCTATGGTTATGGCTTAAAGGGACTGTGGAAGTTCGGCTATATTGTGTTATCGGGTCTATGCGAGATAGGGTGGCGAGGGATCACCCTGGGTATATGATTGGTAAAGTTATTCAGCTGTTGGTTGGCTTCTAGAACAACTCTGGGTACGCTCGAGGACGAGCGTTTGTTTAAGTTGGGGAGGATGTGACGACCCGGCCCGTCGTCACGTGAGTTACCGCCCCGTTTCCCTCATATTATATCCCTCCATGATTTAATATCAGTATTTGAGTTGATCGGGTAGAATTGGATTGGTTCTAGTTGGAAATATGGCACTTAGCCTTTTTGAAGGAAGCTTGCTTTGGAAAAAGTCAACCGGAAGTTGACTATGTAGTTAGAGGGCTCGGATGTGAGTTCCGGTGGTTCGGGTAGCTTCGGAGGATGATTTGTGACTTAGGAGTGAAGTCGGAATTCAATTTGGAGGTCAGGTGTAGAATTAGGCTTGAATTGGCTAAGGTTGAATTTTGGTGAATTCCGGTTGGTAGGTGAGATTTTGATCCGAGGGTCGGAATAGAATTCCGAGAGTTTCAGTAGCTTCGTTAGGTGATGTTGGATATGTCTGCAAATTTTCAGGTCGTTCGGATGTCGTTGGGTCGGGTTATTGGTCAAATGCAAGTTTCGAAAGTTTTAGTTTAACTTAGGCTTGAATCCGTGGTAATTTGATGATTTTTGTGTTGTTTGACGTGTTTTGGTGATTGGAACAAGTTTGTATGATGTTTTGGAGTATGTTGGTGCTTTCGGTTGAGGTCCCGAGGGCCTCGGGGTGATTTCGGATGGCTAGGTGTGCGATCGCGTAGAAGAGGAAAGGAGTGCTCTGCGATCGCAAGGGGTGTTCTGCGATCGCGTAGAAGGAATTTTTGGGAGGTTTGAGATTGTGATATGCGATCGCATTAGTAGTGTTGCGATCGCATAGAGGAAAGACTGGACGGACAGAATAGTTTTAAGGGTTATTTCAGTCGCGAAACCCATCATTTTTCCACCATTTTTACGCCGCCTTGAGAGCTTTTTGATCGATTTTGACGGGGATTTCAACGGGTATTGATTTGAGGTAAGTCTCTTGACTAGAAAATACCATTTTATGGAAGAATCAACACTCAAATTCATGAAAGTGGGTAGAAATTGTGAAGAACTAGGGCTTGGTTTTTGAAAACGAATTTTTAGGATTTGAAAGGCCATTTGAGCTCCGTTTTCGGTAAACTTTATATGTACGGACTCGTGGCGAGACGAGGAATCCGTTGATGTGATTTTCGGAATTTTTCGAGAAGTGGGCCCGGGGCTCGGGTTTTACCAACTTCGTGAATTTTAGTACTTTTCGAGTATTTTTGATTGGGTCTTTAACCCATATTTATGTATTCGCTGTGATTTTGACTAGATTCGATGCGCGAGGAGGTCGATACAAAGGGAAAAGCCATTGCGGACCAGTCTACGGCCGGTTAGAGGTGAGTAGTTTGTATAGATGATGGCCTGAGGGTTTGAAACCCCGGTTTATCACATTGTGACGCTATTGTAGGGCGTGACTCGCACCCCATGGCAGGTGCGGGATTGGTTATGACTGGGGATTGTGACTTGGTCCATCCCGAACAAGAATGTTTCTATATTGGCGACTGATACGCACCCTGTATTGAATATATCTGGGCTTATTGCCGTGTTTGGGGCCTTGTACCGATCTGTAGCATCCTTAGAGGATGAATGTCATTGTGATAGCATGCTTTGTATAATCATTGATCTCAGTCCTGTGTTTAATCACTATTATGAAATGCTAAGTCACTTTTCCTGAAGTTAAATATCTAAAGTATATTCTTCTTAATAAATTGGAAATTGGGAAATTAATTTAATCTGTTACGTGACTCATATGCAAATTGTGGACTGAGTATGGACCGGGCTGCACGCCGCAGCGAATGGTATGATTATATTGCGCTTGGGCTGAAGGAGCCCCTCCGGAGTCTGTACACACCCCTAGTGAGCGCCATCGACGTTAAATGGATCGGGCTACGCGCCGTAGCGGTCATGTGCATTGCATTGCATCCTTATATTATACTTGACTGATATATTTGAAGTTGTTTTGCTGTTGGTTCGTAGTTAGGTGTTGGACTGTTAGTTTTAGCTTTACTTTGTGACATTTCGTGGATTTCTTATCTTCAGACATTTTATATGCTTATTACTCACTGAGTTGGTAGTACTCACCCCCTACTCCCTGCACCTTGTGTGCAGATTCAGGTACTTCGGGAGCTTAGTTGAGCTAGCCGCTGGTTTCCAGAGTTCCAGGAGTGGTCGAGGTAGCTGCTATGACGTCCGCAGGACCCGACTCCTCCCTCATCCCTTTATTATTTCCGTACTTTAGAACATACTTATTTTGAGGATTCTTGACTCTGTATTAGTTAGAGGCTCTAGACAATGAGTATTAAAAATGACAATTGTATAATGTCAGTATTTCGTATTGTTTTAATTGAGTATTTCAACTATGAGTATTAATATTTGATTTTAAGTATCTGATTAATTGGTTTTGAACCTTGTGCTCGGGTTGAGAGAGTAAATGGTCGGGCTTGCCTAGCATTAGTATTGGGCGCCATCACGACATGGTTTGGGGTCGTGACATTATACAATTGTCATTTTTAATACCACATACAAAACAATGAATAAAAAACAATACCAGAATAACTAATCCCAGCACAACTTATCCCGGCATAAGTCGTATTCAAACCAAACGATCCCTAAAGATATTTGTAGTTTTCCATTATATTTCGTCAAACATTACCTTTCTTTCAGTCTTAACTTTAGTTTCTTACCTTTAATGTAAACACTTAAAATATAAAGTTCAAAATATTTAACCAATAAAAAATCATAAAATCTATTTGTATAGCCACCTTTTAAAATAATAACCAAAAAGTATATATATA